TGAGCCGCGTTCAGTTCAACCAGACGGAATCGACCGGAACATGGGGAGTCTGACTAGCTTTCAGTAAAACCGGCAATTTTCACACTTTTTGAGAATTTGAACGGGCGGACAAGCACATAATCATCAAATTAGGAGCCCCAAAGAAACAACACTGAAGTCATACATGTTTAAATGCCATGACAACCACAAGACGTTGCATTCACTTGGGTTGTGCAACTCTTATTAATTAAAAAGATTTATTAAACAAAAATTCCGCGTAATATGCTTGAAAGTTTCTCTTATGGTTAAATAATCTGATTGATTTGGCTGGTCAGTTGAAAACAAGCTTGGTAATTGATAGAAAAATATCAGAGTACCTAGTTAGCACATTAGAAAATACATACATTTGTAATTATGTTTAACATGGTAGACCACCAATGAGAGCAAAAATCTTTAAATGTTTTTCAAATGCAACACTGCGACATGAGAATTCCTACAGAAAATGTATTTCGTTTTAATGGATTTTGAGGTTGAAGTGCCCTGAGCTTAATCCAAGCCAAAGAGTGTGTCGGTTACCAATTCTGCACTTCCGCACATATTGAGTTCGGCAAAAGAAACTCTATCAAGGGGTGGAGCACTGAGGAGGAGGGCGGGGGGGGGGGGGGGGGGGCAGGCCCCATTCTGAAAAAACGGGCCCATCTCCTTGTTTTTCTTCCCCTTTCTCCCCCAACACTCAGTTCTCTATAGGACGCCTTCATTGCTCACACAATACAAATCACTGGTCTCCATTCATGCACTGATTAATATGCAAAGACAGCCCGTCCTCATCCAACAGTCAGGAGAGGAGAAATATAAAAGCCAGCCGAGTCATTTTGAACCCATCTGTTTTTGGAACTGTCGCGCTTTTTGATTTAGCATAACAAAGCACTGTGAAGTATTTGGATAATGCATCATAATCTCATTTGATAATTGTTTTACCTTCATATGACGTTGTATCAACTGATGACATTATGGCTGATCCGCATTCGTTCTCTGATCTGCATTCATTCTTGTCATGATAATACATTTTAAGTATTAGAATTTAGCCAATCTGGGATTAGAACTAAAAACATGTTTAAACAATACACAAAAAAATACTGAGTAGAATAGGAAGCAACAAAATATGTAAAGGAGTAACGAATGCCCAGTAGAACGTGTAACTGAAAACAGTTACGACTCACAAAGAAATCACTTGTTGATGCTACTTTTTGACCGTATAAAACGTGTGCAGTTGTGGTATGCAGTTTATGTCTGAATAAAATCCCAAACTGAGTTCAGCCTGTAATCTGAGTAGTGGACAATCTAAACAATACATTGGTACAACATGTGTACGTCACTTTGGACGCAGCATAGATTGTGTTACCACTACAGAGCAAAGTTACAGTTTTATTCTCAGCACAGACTAAAAAACGCCTTATAATTTCCCCTTGTTTGGCTGCTTTTTCCAGTTCCCCGAAGTCAAAAATAGCCTGTATTATTTTCATAGTGGCTTTGAACTCACCACAGCAGTTAAAGTCCCACATGTGAGCCATTTAGGAATTGTGTATTTTTTTTCCCTCCCTCTAAATTTTAAGTTGAACTTCTTTTTCTCTTTTTGAAGTTCAGCTCTGCGCTGTGCGGGTAGTTTTACTGTATATCTAAAGGATCATTATATCAAACTTACAGTGCACATGTCTTATGACTCAAAAGGGCAGATGCTGCTCTGCTTTTTAACAAAGTGTCTCGAGTTTCCAAAAAACTGCATAAATGCAACTGCAGGTGCACGGTGAAAACTGGGTGGTTGAACAACACAACAAAAAAAAACACAATTGAGGAAGTCCAGTGTGAGTAATGGGCGTATGACACCAAAAGACCGTCAGACACCAAAAGACTGCAGGCGCTTCTCTTGCACTGCTCTTTGTTTTACGAGGGCTGTGGTCGAGCCTCCAAAGAAAGTCTTTAGTCATCTAACACTCAAACGGTTTGTCGACTAAACAATTAGGAAATGAGTTTCTCACCAAAGAATCCCACTATAGCACAACTTTTGTGTGCCCCAGAGCTGTGTCAATAAAGTCGCTTGGAAATAAGACATTCAGCATGAAGATGTAAAAATAACCGAAAACAACTGAAGACATCTAAATCAACAAGACAAAAGCGACCGATTGAACCGCTGGCTTTGTCTTTGGCGCATTGATTGCCTACGTTGGTGGAAGAACGCACAACGATGTGTAGATAACTTTTCTTCAGCCACCATGTGAGATAAGTTGCTTCATCATAGCATGAACACAACTCTGGAAAGTTGTCCCAGTGAGCCCCATGTTATCCACCGACTAACCATCGGATTCAACCTCTCGCCAAGAATGAAGAAATTTCCCAAACTCTGGCCAACAGTCTAGAATTGTATAGTGGAAATAATAGGCGGGCATCAGCAGTCGCCGAGCGCCAGCTCTCCGCAAACCTTCAACTGTTAATAACTTCACGTCCTTCAAAGGAGGCCCTCTCATTTGAACCCTGGAACAGGCGTGACGAACAGTTTTGTCTCTCTGATTAGCCCCCGTCACCTTACACTCTTTCAGGTTGCAGAATGATGACTTTGGATATGGCAGATCACTCCCAACAGAACAAGGCCAGAACTGGTAATAAAAGCTAGACTCAATCCATCTGGCTTCAGACGGACCAAGACAAGAAAGGCCACAGTCCGTCACCCCTGCTAAAATCCTATTCCATTAAATATGGCCGTTATTCAATACCCTTTTTAAAAGGTGGTGTACTCTTCCCATGCTAATGTTCTTGACTAGACTCAAAATTGTATCCCCATTGACCTGGAACAGGAACTGGAAATCAATACATGTAATTAAATTACTCAGCCTTCCAGCTGTGATATCGTCATTACCCTTTTAATAAACCCCAGCCTATCAAATAATGTGATCAATTTCTTCTATTGCAAAAGAGCAGAGCTGAAGCTCTGTTGTCTAATCAGCTCCCTTTTGATTCCTTTGACTTTTCCTCCCGTATGACGTGCAGAGAATTGCGGGGGAGGCAGAATATTCCAGCGGCATCGGGAATCACAGAAAAAGAATTACATCCCAATTGTACTCGGTACGGTGACGGGTTGACACTGGGTTTTTGAGTGAGAGGTGGGAGGCAGCAAAGGTTTGATTCGAAAATACCTTGAAAGTATTTCAAAACTGTAAAACAGAATTTAAAAAAACAATGTGTATTCCTCCAACGGTCCAAGTTTTTGTGCATAGGACACATTAGATCCTGACCATGCCAACTATATCGGCTCAGTTTTAGCTAATCAGCAGTACCGGATGTTCAAAGGTTCGTCCACCAGAGGGTAATAGTTTATTTTTAAACTTAAGTGTCAAGCTCAGTGGGCTTAATATATTGGTCACAATTCCTTAATAACAAATGAGCCCTTGGTGTGTCATCCATCTATCGCCTATTGAATATTTAACTCAAATAGGAAATGGATAAAGAAGATGTGAGACCTATGAAATATGGAGGATGAATAGTAAAATCCAAAACCTGAGGTTAGAATAATCATCCTTGAATATTGGCACAATGTTGAAAACTATTTTTTTAGCATTAAATCGAGCCATTCTTCCCCTTTCCAAGGAACCCGAAGGGTCCTCAAACTCCACTTGGAGACACAGTTGCAGTCTAAAGAAAGAGGGGGCAGATGCAGGGAGGGAAGGGGAATATAAGAAGCGGCAGCGGTGGGGGTTGAGGGAGAAATGCCCCCCCCCCGCCCCCCGCCCACCTCCTATATAACCGTGGGAGCGCTTGGATTGGATTCTATTGTATACATTGAATGACTATTCACTCGTCCTCAATGGATGACGAATTCCCTCCCGACCTTTACGAGCCAAATTAAATTTAAAAAAAGAATCCGATCAAATGAGCCCGGCGGGCTGTCAACGTCATTCGGCTCCTCGAGGCGCACTGCGCTATGAAGTTAGAAACTAACAACAACAACATAAAACACGCGCAGGTTATGTGACGCGGAGAAGGTCGGAGGCTGTTAACCTGCACGCGCAGACTGGTGGTAAACTGGAAAATCCCACACTGACACGTAAACGCACGGCAACGTTTCCGTGCCAAAATCCGGTGACGGCCGTGCGCGAGCGCATCGATCACGCCGATAGAGTTCGAGCGCGTGCTTGTGAGGAAAAACACCATTTGACCACTTGTTTTTTTTATATGTTACGACTGAAACAAAGCATCTCTGCAAAGAGCGAGCGACGCTCCTGCCCCCCTCACCCCCCCACCACCACCTCCTGCCCCCCCGTGTGCGTCACGGCCGACCCTGCAGAAGTGAGAAGGCAGAGGTGCGCCGTTCAGTTTGGGGGGTTATTTCACATTTGGAGCGTGCGACGGTGGCTTTACGCACAACCGAAAAGAGTGGAAGCTCTATCTGCTGGCTCGAGGAGGGGGGTTGGGGGTACGGGGGGGGGGGTTGGGGGTCACAGAAGCGAGAATCCCTGCATCATCACCAGTCCCAATCACAGCCAAGATCCACGGACCTTTACCCGCACAAATGAACTCGGGAGTCCAACACGGACCAACAAATACACGCGTGAATAAACAGCCACAAGGAGCAGCGCGCGCGGGTCGCGATCCTCTGAACGAAGCGGAGCGAACCTGTTCCTTAACTCGGGTTATAAAGCCCGACACGCTCCTCTGTGGTGCGCGATAGCCTATATATATATATATTTTTTTTTTTTTTAACACATTAAAGAGGCGTCGCGGCGCCGTATCTCGACGCATGGTGCATCTCTAAAGGGCGACGACACTCGCGCTTCTCACGAGAGAAACTTTTGGTAGAAATCCTGCCGGTCCGACCTGACGCCCCCCGTCCGGAGTCAGCGGCGAGGATGCTGCCGGCGGGACCCGGAGGATGCTGCTCCGGAGTCAGGGCAGCTCGGCCTTGCATTGCACAGATTTCTTTTTTTTTGAGGGGGGGGGTCATCCTTTCGAATAATAAATACACGTCTCACCTGCACAGCCGGCGAACAGCAATCCCCAGACGAGGTCCCGTATTTGAAGCATTGTAATGTGTCACAGATATTCTCCTTCGAAGAGCAGACGCACTTTTTTTGGGGGGGGAGAAAAAAACAAGCGAGGTGTCTCTACTGAGCAGAGGAGATGGAGGAGGGGGGCGGATGTAGAGAGGAGGGGGGGAGAAGAGGTAAAGAGAGACGTTCTCAGGGACGACAACTGCTACCGGACGGGATTTTGGTCCTTGTCGCTTCCCGTGTTCACGGCACAATGAGTGACAAGCAGCAGCCGTAGCACGCACTCACACGCGCTCATCCACTGCGTGGCCACCGACACGAATTACTCCGCCCGGGTAGGCAATACCCCCACGCGCCCACACACACGAGAGGGAGAGAGGGAGAGACAGAGAGAGAGAGAGAGGGGGGGGAGAGAGATGGAGAGATATGGAGAGGGAAGGAGATGGAGAGGGAGGCGCAGGCACACACGCACGCACAAGAGGGGGCGGGCCGAACAAAGTAGTGCGCAGAGCTGACAGTTAGACAGCAGATGGTCACCAGAGGCTCTAATTCGGATTACTGAGTTTGTAACCAGCTAACTGGGGTTTAGAGACACATGGTGCAAGATAATTATTCTGAACAGTGAACCAATTAATGTGTAGTTAAAAAAAAATGTTTAGTATACGTTTAGTATATTTATTTTTTTTTATTTATTTGTTTCTGCTGAAATACTTGATATAAAAAAGCACGTTTAAAAAAATGCATTTGCTTAAATCAAGGTATTATTTGGCATCATATGGAAAATCCCTCATAAAAATATCATTGTCATAGGATAACTCAATTTGGTGGGGGTAGCGATTGTTCTTTCAGTCTGTGTTCCTAATCGCAATTTTGCCAGAGGATTTTCTTGAAGAAACCGCTTCATTAACAACAAAAGGTTAAAGCAGCTTCGATATATTATTTCAATTTTGTTCATAATAACTGGCTTATTAACAAATCTAGCTGCTAAAGAACAGAGCGAAATTAGCGTGTGTATGAAAAGTGATGCGTGCGTTAAACCTGCATTCTTTCCAATGGCCAGCAGGGGGGTGAATCTTATGCTTGCAAAAATAGGTCAGTTTGAATTGAAGAGAAAATGACATTACGCTGATTTGATTTATAGCCTGAGCAATCATTTTAACACACGTTTAAAGTCTCCATGTCTAAATTAAAGTATTTTGCAACACACCTTAATGTTAATTTAATAAAGCACGGCTCCATTTAAAGTGTAAAGTAGGGTATGCTTCAAAAGTAGTCGCCGCAATTTATATGACAAACTAATCATTAGCTTCTGCTGAAATTTGAAATATAGCTTTGGGACAACTATGATAAGGTGAATAATAACATCGCCACACAAAATACCAACACTTTAAACATAGATACTGTTTGACATTTGAAGATGCAAATCCATACCCAAATCCATACCTGTCCTTTGAAGCATTCAGTAGGTTGTTTTACTATTTTTGTAATTTTTATATTTGCTTCTGGGAATCCTCTGACCTCGGCCGTTGCCAGGGTAAACATCACGTCACCAAGTCACTTGTATCCCATACTTTAAGTACAGCTGGAGATATTTCTATACCCGACTCGCGTTGTATACCGTGTGAAATATTCAGACACATCTGGCAGTTGCTTTTCAGTAGTAGCCATTTCTCCACCTGTCCTTGGCGTGTCGGCCTGACCTGCACACATGTGGCTCCTTCCCTCATCAGCAATCCCTTCTGCTTGCCTCCCCATCTGCACATCATTAGCTCCTCGGTATAAAGCTATTGCTATTGCTATAGCTATTCCATTAAACTAATGGAAGAAAAAACATGCTTGTTTTCTACATAATTTGCTCTATATTCAAAAGCTGATTTAATTGATTCTTGAAATTCAGGAGCAGGCTTTAAGGTATTATTTTTAGACTAAACGGATATTTTCCGGTGATCAAAATTCAAAACGGCAACCAGTTTAGGTGATGAAACAAAGGCCTGAAAAGTTGGTTTCCTTGGCAATTACCGAAATATCCTGCTCAATCAGGCAGAATTCATGTAATGAAAGGGAAGTGAGAAAAATATCAATGGACGCACGTTTCTTTGAATTTGCTTTTGGTGTGTCTGTAGCTTTTATTGTGGTTTGTTCTACATGTGGTTTGGACAATGTGCCGAAATTTAAACTAAATAGACAGCGCACATTTTTGAACCCAGTCTAATTAGTGCACATTCTCTAAAAATACTTGACACCCTTTGCAGTGTGATACCTAATTCTCCTTCAAAAGTTCCTCCACAGTTTAGAAAAGAAGATGTTCTGTATCAAAAGTAAGGAGAGTTAAGGAGAGAGTGAGACAGAAATGTTAGGAGATAGCTCCAGATGTCCAGCGGGAGGGTAAACAAATTGCAAAGGGATGACTAGTTAAACGTTTTGGCAATAACTTGTTTGACATGTGGTTCAACACATCTGTCAGACTGACAACCCAGAAGGGTGCCAAGAACATTCCCTGGAACAACACAATTTCAGTTCAAAACAACGTTGTGCCATCCAGTAACTTCCTTTCTGCCTCGAAGTTGAATGGAATTTATGAAGTAGAAATATTTCCCATTTGAGAATGGCAAAAATATTCCATAATATTCTGTAATACGACTTCTTATTTGAGCTAGATAAGCATTTAATTAATTAAAATAAATACAACGGGAAACCTTTGCCACGTTTATCCAAATGAGAAACCAAATGGAACGGCTCATGGACCAAACATTGGCGAATATCTCGGGGAGAATCTCATGAATAAATGGATGTGTGCATAAAATTGTAGCCCAAAGTTGAGTTGATTTGATGATGCTGACAAGTTGTTTCATATTACACATGTCCCTCAATCTACAGCTGTGAAATCCCAAGCATTAAAACAATTCCAACAATAGAGCCCATTCAAAAGCTGAACTGAAGCGTTTAACAGATTGTTTGGTTTACAGTTGAGGAAACATTGCACAAATATATCGGTTTGTTGACATTTGGAATAAGGCCCGTGGACCTATCATGGTGAAAGATTCAGTCAAATGTTTCACCCATTTCACGTACGAGTCCTTGCCAGGGACGCACATGTGAAGCCCTGCTCAATGCTCTGACTTTCTTCTTGGCCTCTAGAAACAATGTTCGCTCGTTGGTCGGAACCAGGGAATAAAACTCAATCAGTAAACATATTGGTTTTGCGCCATTCCACTCATTGTAAACATCGTGTTGTTGGCTTTTGTTTAAAATGTAACATGAGAGCAATTATCTTTTTCCATGCACCTGTCAACATGACACTTAATAATTTAAAAAATAACTGTTTGGCTGCTGGAGCTGACAGTTACTCCGATCTATAATTGTAATAAAAAAGTATTTTCTATTTATAACGGATTGTAGCAGTCTTGAGCAGTAATGTTTACCCACGGTAAAAATGGCTCGCCTTTAGAACACATGCCTGTCAGTACCCAATCACCCGTACGATTGAGACTGCCAGAAAACAGTCAGTCTGTCCTGATACATAGTAAAATATGACATGCCAATCATACCAAGATGTCCTAGTGCGTCCAATGGATTTAGCACAATTCTCAAAGGTGTTCCGTCAGACATGTGGTTGATGTGCTTGGCTGAGGAGTTGATGGTGCAAAGCTTCCATCGGATGACAAACTAATTTTAGCCATATACAGTAGTGGTCTGGCACACTGGTTAGTGTGTTTATTTCTCAAAATGTGTTATTCTAACAGGCGTTGACACATTTTCCCTCCCTTTTTCACACAAATACGCTCACGTCTTTTCACACATGATGAATAGGTGTGGATGAGCTGAGCTTCTTTTTCCACGGGAGATGGAGGAGACTGAGACCACGTTCACACTGGGTTGGATAATTGTGAAAACCCGTGGTATCTTTGCGTGGTGTCTTTCGAACCACAGAATGTCGTAGAAGTCAAAGTCCTTCCACCTCGTGCTCTGCTCTTGTGTGTTAGAATGGATGTCATTGTATCCCACGCTGTGCAACAAAAAGGTCTAACTGTCCTATTTCTTTCTTGGCGCCCTGTAACACCTACAGTCTTACGCATAAAGACGACTGGATGGTTGCCTCGGTAAACATGTTCCCAACGAGGGCACAGTCTCGATGGGTCATTTCAAGTCTGTTTCCCAGAGCATGATATTCATTTTGCGTGAAAATATGGTCCTATATAGTGTAAAAAAAAAAGAAGACCACCCGGTGGGCTTTCTAATTGCTATGTTTCTACCGCGATTTTGGGGGTTTCAACGGTCAGTTGTTTCTGTAGGGGCATATTCCAGCCTCTGTGAAGAAGTGCCCTTTAAATGTATTGTAGATTGTTCTTAGAAACAAAAACAGAGATAGCACCATGTGAAAGGAATCTAAAAAAATCTGCTTATTTGTTACCTTCCCCGTACCTCAGTTAGTTTAACTGTGATAAAACTATTTTCACTTGTCTCATGAGTAACTTTGAGCGAACAGTTCGAAGTAATTGTCTTCTTGGGTCACTGCAAAGATGTGCTATATCAAAAATGCAATCAAAAAGGCGATGTGTGTACGTGCATTTCTAACAGCAGAGGGCAAATGTAGGGTTGACTGACACAGAGGAAAACAGGCTAATCTACATGGGGGGGAAAGCTGTTCCTCAAGCAGCCTGATTCGCTTTAAGGTGATTAATGCACGCAAAAAAAAATAACAAGATGGATTAAGAGAGCTGTCGAGCAAAATAAGAGACAAGCCCGGGACGGAGACAAGAACAAATCCAAACTGTTTGACTGCAGCGGGGCAGAAAGACCTCATTTACATGGCACAGGAATTAACTCTGGGCCACTGGTTTTAGTGATTCAAGGGTAGTGTGAGCGCTAAGCAGTACGTTACAGCGAGAGGCGTCTGACAGATGTTCTCTGAGTGTTTATAAGGAGAAGATAAACTTTATTAAATGGGATGGAAGCCCAGGATGAAGAAGTGGGGGGTTCGGGGGGGTTCCTCTTCACGCGATAGTTAAATGCCTAGTCAATATGTATGAGGAGTATTGTTGACTTGTGGGGTTTCGCTTGAACTTTAAAGTGCCAGCAAAAAAAAAAAAAAAAAAAAAGATTTCCTTCTCGGCGAGAGAAAACAAGCACCTCGACGATGTTGCTCTGACACGGTGAGGCTCGTTTACTGTGAAGGGGCTCATTTACCCAAGAACGAGGCGATCCATCACTCCGCTTTACGTTTTAAGGGACCTTTCGACACAGAGACAGAGCGTATGTGTGTGTGTGTGTCTGTGTAATAGCACGGTTCTCATCGGGAGTGCACATGCGTGTTACTCATCCGTGTGCATAAACACCCAAAGAAGCACGTGGT